CATCCTGTAGTATGTATCAAATCATCTCCAACGTTCATTCTGTACTATGTAACAAATCATCTCCAAAGTTCATTCTGTAGTATGTATCAAATCATCTCCATAGTTCATCCTGTAGTATGTATCAAATCATCTCCAAAGTTCATTCTGTAGTATGTATCAAATCATCTCCAAAGTTCATCATGTAGTATGTATCAAATCATCTCCATAGTTCATCCTGTAGTATTTATCAAATCATCTCCATAGTTCATTCTGTAGTATATATCAAATCATCTCCAAAGTTCATCCTGTAGTATGTATCAAATCATCTCCAAAGTTCATCATGTAGTATGTATCAAATCATCTCCAAAGTTCATCATGTAGTATGTATCAAATCATCTCCATAGTTCATCCTGTAGTATTTATCAAATCATCTCCATAGTTCATTCTGTAGTATGTATCAAATCATCTCCAAAGTTTATTCTGTAGTATGTATCAACTCATCTCCAATGTTCATTCTGTACTATGTAACAAATCATCTCCAAAGTTCATTCTGTAGTATGTATCAAATCATCTCCATAGTTCATCATGTAGTATGTATCCAAATCATCTCCAAAGTTCATCATGTAGTATGTATCAAATCATCTCCATAGTTCATCCTGTAGTATGTATCAAATCATCTCCAAAGTTCATTCTGTAGTATGTATCAAATCATCTCCAAAGTTCATTCTGTAGTATGTATCAAATCATCTCCAGAGTTCATTCTGTAGTTTGTTCCAGAATTGATATTTCCCCGATTGCGGAATTCACTATGCTTAATCTGTAGTGATAGTGTCCATTATTGGCTATGTTAACATTTCGAAAATATATACAAGGAAGGGTATTTGCTGATATGACTTATTCTTCCAATATGAAATAATAATATACCTGATTGTGTATGCAAAATGGTTGAAACCTTTGATTCCATTTCTATTTAAAAATCATAACAATGAGAAAAGAAAAAAATTGTATGATATGAATCTTGAAGATAAACTATCTCCAACAGATATAAAAAATATAGATGTGAACAATCTTGTTAAAATTACGTAAGTCTAGCTCCTACATATACACATATACTTGAAAAAATGGTCTTATATATGAAAATTAAGAAATTTCTTGAATAATGGAGCTACTGCACCTCCTCATTTTGACTTTCAATCACTTTGAATTTTCCTCAGTCACCTCATAGGCTTCAAAACTTCAGTCCTTAGTATCACTGACGAGTTCTCAAACGAGGAAATAGCCATTGGATGCAATTCAATTCATTGTTTGGTTCCACCATATCTAACTCTAAATTTGCATTAAAGGGTGCTATCAACTTGTGGGTCTTTGGTATAAACTTCTAGTCGAAACCAAGTGGAAGTTTACATATATAAGCAAATGTGTTCACAAGGCGCGATTTCATGTCACAACCTGGTGATAACAAATGGTGAATACTACTGGTAATTCATGCCTCCAATGATTAAAACATGACAACAAAACAAAGTTTTAAATTAATGAATAATATAATTTCAATAAAAGTATTGCCATCTATACAATTATTGCTACATGCCACAGACAAATGTCAACAAATACATTGTAAACTCCTTTTTAATAGTCTTACAGGAAATGCTTCATGTATAGAACAATATTTCTACTTGGAGCATTAGCACACTATTTGTTGAACAGTGATAACATTACTCATGAGCCAAGACACATTTTCAATATAGAGGTAGGAAAAAATGTTACCTCTGAATATGTGATAAACCAGTAAAAAACTGTGTTCAGATGAAAATTCATAAATATGAAGAACATCAGAGCATATATCTAAGGATCTCCTCCGTTGTGTTGAGATTTTTATCAGTAAAACCTTGGTTTAGATAAAGAATAATCCTATGTAATGAGATTTCTTTCCTGCTTTATCTCCTATGTAAGAAAGGATTGTATTTATCAAAATTTTATACTCCAAGTCTAGGGCAGCATTAGTACAAGTATGTATGTAATCAACATCATATGTACAAAATAGTATGAACATTTCACCTTGTGAACTCTCACACAAAGTTACTTACATTAAGCTGCGCAGGTATGAAACTAATGTTTGAAAGACAGCTCTGCATGCAAATACAGCACACAATATATATGCCCATCAAACTATGTCATTCATAATGGCCATAAATTTGATATAAAAACAATCAAGATTTCCTACACTTTCTTACTAGACTTCATTAAAAATGTACAATTTGTTAACAAAAGTAGAGCCAAGATAACTGAGCCACCATTTTAACTTGTATACAATATCATAGCCATGTTTATCATTATGACATTAAAATATACCCCCAGTGCATATCAATATTTATCACATACCTACCTTCTATCTGTGTTATAACATCTTTTTGACCTAATGGTGCTGTGATTGGGTGAAGGTTCCTGTTGTGACCAAACTTCATGGTGTCATATGTATTATGACATCACAAAGGAAAGGTATATTGGGAGAATATTGACAATTTCAAATTTTGAATTTTGTTGCTTTCATGAATACTTTGCAAAAGCGTCTACGTCATGTGATAAACAGAACCTCATATTTGTTTCCATTTCATATGAGATTTACAAAACTCATCACAAATTTTTTCATTTTACCTTGCTAAAGGTACCATCAATTGAAAAAATCCAAGACTTGTTTTCATATGTCACACATGAATGAAAACTTGTATAATCCTCTATACATTATATGTCTGTCTTAAAACTTGCACTTCTGTCTGGTACACAAAGAAAATATTCAGCAAATGAATAAATATTGTATTGTATTTTGGCTTCTTCCATACTTTGGCATTGCTTCTGTATGAACTCATGTAAGAGTACATATGATTTCGTACAATCAATTGAATTGTTCGTAATTAATCAGTCTTCTGTCTGACGTGAATTTTAACTTCAGCATATGTATTGTACAATGTACTACCTGTACTTTAAAAAAATGAGATAAAAATAAAGGTTGGTCATAGAAATTCTATTTCTTATTTTTTATTCAAACATAAAATCACCTTGTCAAACTTTATACCCACAAATTTATATATAAAATACCATTAATAACCCAGTTTATATAATTACATATCACTTGTGGTGTAATGTTTTATGATTTATCTCAGAGTTTGCATGTTTCTTTAACACAAAGTTGTGCCCTCCCCGTCCCCAAAAAATGTTTTTAAATGAACTCAGATTTTTTCCCCAATACATCAATTTATTTATAAAATTTTAGTATTTAACCTCTAAAAAAACTAGTGATTTAATTACCTATAAACTTCCAGTGATTAACCAGTATATCTACCTGTAAAATATAGTTGATTCACCAATGAAATACATTTGATTTACCAGTGAAACACAGTTGATCTACCTGTAAAATACAGTTGATTCGCCAGTAAAATACAGTTGACTTACCTGTAAAATACAGTTGATTTACCTGTAAAATGCAGTTGATTCACCAGTAAAATACAGTTGACTTACCTGTAAAATACAGTTGATTTACCTGTAAAATGCAGTTGATTCACCAGTAAAATACAGCTGATTTACTTGTAAAATACATTTGATTTACCTGTAAAATACAGTTGATTCACCAGTAAAATACAGTTGATTCACCAGTAAAATACTGTTGACTTACCTGTAGAATACAGTTGATTCACCTGTAAAATACATTTGATTTACCTGTAAAATACAGTTGATTCACCAGTAAAATACAGTTGACTTACCTGTAAAATACAGCCGATTTATCTGTAAAATACAGTTGATTCACCAGTAAAATACAGTTGATTTACCTGTAAAATACAGTTTATTCACCAGTAAAATACTGTTGATTTACCTGTAGAATACAATACTAGTCATTTATATCTCAACAACTTTGGCCATTTCTATCCTTTACCTTTAAGCTGACAGTAATACAACAAATAGTTTGTGTATTAAATCATTACTACATTGTTCACTAAAAATTCTATCAAATATAGTTTAAAGCTGTGACACATAGCTGCTCAAATCGAATAAATATGGCTCGGAAATGAATTTAAATAAAGACACCTTTTCAACCAGACAACAGGAATTTTTTTCATACATACATAATGATATATATCATATAGGAATATAATATTATATATAGGGTCTATCAAATAAGGAGGAAAGTAATGCCAATAATACATAATTTGATCCCTTCAAATCAATGCTTGTTTGGTGTGTATCATTTAGATAACAGTTCTATATATGGCTATATCAATTAAAAATATCTTACTACTTAATCAAACTCAACTATTCTTTTAACAATTTCAAAGATATAGTGAATAAACCATGATATATGGCAGTGATTGTAGGTATACATAGTGTATATATGAATAAAAGAAGATTAATGTCAGCCAACTGACACTCCTCCCCTGCTATAAAAACAAAAACAAAAAAAACAAAAACCAAAAAAAAAAACAGAGACAACACCTCTACTGTTTACAATGTTTAGAAAACACTGACTAATAAATATAATTAGAAGACTTTAGCATGTTTAGAAAAATTTTTTTTTTTTTAAAAAAAAGGGCGTACGAAATGAAAGGGAAAATAAAAGTCTTCCATGTCGTGTGTTCTTGAAGTAATCTAAAGATACCTACAAATTACAGGATTATTATAGGACAATATCATTGGCTGATAAATCTGCTGAACAAATGGGCTTATTTCCAGACTTGGACTTATTGCTGGGTAAGCTTATAATATAGCTGTACAGGCATTAAATCTATGTGATATTAGAAATGGTAAAGACAAACCGCTTCAATCTACAGGCAGACAGACAAATGTAAATTTGAATGGACAGACAACCTTTTCCCATCCTTTCTACATAACACATGGAGCATTGCTATATTAGATAGACATAATAATGACCCTTCAACCAGATATTAATTGTTTAAATCAAAATAAATGTTTTGAGTTTTCTGAATGGATATGACAAAGATTCTTAAATAACATGTAAGTTTTTTGTACTTGTATATAAGTTTGGCAATTTAAAATGAGTACATATCAGTAAATCTGTATGTAATGATATATCTAAATAAATAATATATTGTATAGATGTGAAAGAAAATGTACACACAGGATAATCTCAATGTTAAGGAGTATTACTCAATATCAAAATGATACAGAAAAAAATCCTGGGATCAAAGACATAAACAGATCAGTATAGGAATTTAGGGGGCTCATTCTATGTTGAAACTGAAATAAAATGGAAATATTGAGGGATCAATTATAAGTTTGGTGGTGGTGGTGGTAGTGAGGAGATGTTGGGGGGGTTGGTTATCCCTATTGATATTAACATTTATCAAGAGGTTTAGAGCAAATTGTATCTGGAAAGAGTTACAAATTGTGCTACCAGCCAAATCACTGAGGCTGAATTTCACTAAAGCCATCTAGCATACCTGTTCTTACTATTACAAAAACTGCAGATCTATACAAGCAAAGGACTGTATCATACAACTGCCATCAGCGATAAATTTAGGTCTAGGTTATACAAACAAATCTTTTCATTGGAAACATACATATTTTCACAATAAAATTTCCCTACAATATGGAAAATTTCAATTTCAGTAAAGAAAAAACCTATAATGATCTCTGGCTGCCATGTCCAGCGCAGTATCACTCATACTATTACAAACCATTGTTGTCTCTGAGCTGGTACACGTACATGTATGAAAGGTTCTTAGCAGCAATATGTCCTTTATTATGATTATCCATTCAAAATGTGGCATTTGCAGAACTATAAAATAAGCACTGCTTAGTGGATATTAGTAAACATTAGATTTTATAGAGTGAAACAACAAGACCACATTATCTGATTTAATTGTAGTGTGTACCACAATTAACTGTTTTTTACATGTCCTAACAATCAATAGCTGAAGGAACTTTCCTTATCCTGCTCAATATTTATTAGGGCAATACATGTTCATATGCTACAATTGTTCACTTAACCATTGGATGGTCTTTGGACTGTCATTATGATTGCAGTTTGATTTAGATGCCATGATCATCTACCTGTCACAGATTACATATATATTGACAATTAATATAATCTGACAACTGTTTAAACACAATATATATATATATGGTTCAGATATCATTTTGAAATATCACTGTGTCTATTTTATCAAGAATTTAACATTTTCACCTTGTGTGCTTATTTACTGGAAGAGCCTCCAGAAAATCATAATCATCTAAATGATTGAAATAAAGCTATGATGTGTGTTAATAACAAACAAAGCATTGATGTAACATAGATCAAAATGACATCATATTAGTGCATATGACCTAGAATGTATCTGCACTCCTAAAGTCAAGATGAACAGAGACAATCGGAGGTTGTAACATGAAATGTAAATATAGGACCTTCAGATTTCCACACATGAAAGGAATTAGACAGTCATTATGAAAAACTGTTTTTACATGGGAAAGGATATTTTGACAAATGTGATTCATTTATATCAATGATAACTAAACTTAACCAAATGTAGATTTTTTTTTAAAACACTTCCATGAAATATATCAACAAATGACTTTTATCTTATCACAGGTATGTTCACATTCCTCCTAAAACCCTCGTACCAGGCCTGAGAAAACTGCCATAGAAACAGTAATGCTTCTGTTGACTAGGATCCAGAGCAAAATTGTCTGATTTGCTGAACGTAATTCACTACCTAGTATAGGGAAGTATTTGTTTGTGCCTGCCTGACTCTAACACAAGTATATTACATTTGAGCCATTTGTGTATTTCAACACTAATTCAGGAGGTGAAAATGTTTACTGAAGTGCTCAAGCACACATTGGAATGATTCAGGGGTTCAGTCTCCAGTGACATCAGCTATTCAGTGGCAACATCTCAACATCTGTTGAATCAGACTTGTCCATCAAGAGTGAGAGTTGCTGGCGGGCTCCTTCCAGGAAAACATCTAGACTAGCCATGTGTCTCTTGTGAACCTTGCTGTCCAGCTGTAATTCAGAAATAATCTTACTTTAACTGGTGTTTGTGTTTCACTTTCCAGTTTAATGTGATATTTCTTCAACTAATGCCAGCAGGCAAAATTTTTAGTATCTCATGTGAAGCACTGCTGTTGAGCAGTATTGATAGTGAATCTGTGTGTCCAAAAAACCTGTTATCCAGCAACTCTGCCCACCTAAACTCCTGAACGTATCTGTTTATCAGATATTTTTCACAACACACCATTTGTTACAAACAGAACCACAATAATATTCCTGACATGAATGCAGTGATTTTAAATATTATTGAAAATGAGTCAACATGCAGGATTATCGTACAACACAGATTCACTGTACTCAACTACATCAACACTATATAGTGCTAAGTTCGTGGAACCTACAAATATTTCTAAATTTCTACATCAGATTCTAGTTTACTGTATGTCAATGCATTCTGCGATGCAGCAAAAAACCAGAATAAAAAGAGGAAAACAATTTTTGTGTAACATCTTAAAACAAGTCAAAAGTAATGCTAACATTTGTTTGCTGGATTTATTACTCCATGAATATACAGGATTATGTAGAGGGAGGAGAGGATCTTTTTATAGTAGACTCGCTGATGGTTATCACACTGAACAACATACAGGATTATGTAGAGGGAGGAGAGGATCTTTTTATAGTAGACTCGCTGATGGTTATCACACTGAACAACATACAGGATTATGTAGAGGGAGGAGAGGATCTTGTTATAGTAGACTCGCTGATGGTTATCACACTGAACAACATACAGGATTATGTAGAGGGAGGAGAGGATCTTGTTATAGTAGACTCACTGATGGTTATCACACTGAACAACATACAGGATTATGTAGAGGGAGGAGAGGATCTTGTTATAGTAGACTCGCTGATGGTTATCACATTGAACAACATATAGGATTATTTAGAGGGAGGAGAGGATCTTGTTATAGTAGACTCGCTGATGGTTATCACACTGAACAACATACAGGATTATTTAGAGGGAGGAGAGGATCTTGTTATAGTAGACTCACTGATGGTTATCACACTGAACAACATACAGGATTATTTAGAGGGAGGAGAGGATCTTGTTATAGTAGACTCGCTGATGGTTATCACACTGAACAACATACAGGATTATGTAGAGGGAGGAGAGGATCTTGTTATAGTAGACTCACTGATGGTTATCACACTGAACAACATACAGGATTATTTAGAGGGAGGAGAGGATCTTGTTATAGTAGACTCGCTGATGGTTATCACACTGAACAACATACAGGATTATTTAGAGGGAGGAGAGGATCTTGTTATAGTAGACTCGCTGATGGTTATCACATTGAACAACATACAGGATTATTTAGAGGGAGGAGAGGATCTTGTTATAGTAGACTCACTGATGGTTATCACACTGAACAACATACAGGATTATGTAGAGGGAGGAGAGGATCTTGTTATAGTAGACTCGCTGATGGTTATCACACTGAACAACATACAGGATTATTTAGAGGGAGGAGAGGATCTTGTTATAGTAGACTCGCTGATGGTTATCACATTGAACAACATACAGGATTATTTAGAGGGAGGAGAGGATCTTGTTATAGTAGACTCACTGATGGTTATCACATTGAACAACATACAGGATTATTTAGAGGGAGGAGAGGATCTCGTTACAGTAGACTCGCTGATGGTTATCACACTGAACAACATACAGGATTATTTAGAGGGAGGAGAGGATCTTGTTATAGTAGACTCACTGATGGTCATCACATTGAACAACATACAGGATTATTTAGAGGGAGGAGAGGATCTCGTTACAGTAGACTCGCTGATGGTTATCACACTGAACAACATACAGGATTATGTAGAGGGAGGAGAGGATCTTGTTATAGTAGACTCGCTGATGGTTATCACATTGAACAACATACAGGATTATTTAGAGGGAGGAGAGGATCTTGTTATAGTAGACTCACTGATGGTTATCACACTGAACAACATACAGGATTATTTAGAGGGAGGAGAGGATCTTGTTATAGTAGACTCACTGATGGTTATCACACTGAACAACATACAGGATTATTTAGAGGGAGGAGAGGATCTTGTTATAGTAGACTCACTGATGGTTATCACACTGAACAACATACAGGATTATTTAGAGGGAGGAGAGGATCTTGTTATAGTAGACTCGCTGATGGTTATCACATTGAACAACATACAGGATTATTTAGAGGGAGGAGAGGATCTTGTTATAGTAGACTCGCTGATGGTTCACACACTGAACAACATATAGGATTATTTAGAGGGAGGAGAGGATCTCGTTACAGTAGACTCACTGATGGTTATCACACTGAACAACATACAGGATTATTTAGAGGGAGGAGAGGATCTCCTGATGGTCGACTCACTGATGGTTATCACATTGAACAACATACAGGATTATTTAGAGGGAGTAGAGGATCTCATTATAGTAGACTCACTGATGGTTATCACATTGAACAACATACTGGAGGCCCATCACATACTTTCCAGAGCTATTAGAGTTAAGAGTTTTATAATAGGTCACAACTACAACAACACAGACAAGCATGTTTCTCAGTTTCCTGACAAACACAAATGAATATGTGTAGGGAGCTTCCAAGCAAACACCTTGTATCTTCATCAGTGATTGCACAGACCAACAGGCTACTATATGAGCTGTTCTGGGTGTTTCTCAATAAAGTTATTATAAAAAGCTGTAAGCAGCAGTGTTGCCAGTGGTACAGAGACTTAACTGTTACAGTGTGGTGTGTGGTGCGTTACAACTGTATAGCCCCATTTGTATCTTGTATATTGTTTCATCCTGCTGTAAATGAGAAAGTTTGCTGATCATTACACTGTTCAAACCTATAGCTCCTTCAATCATATTTACATTTTATGTTCATGAAAACTGTATTTTAAACTAGAACTAGATTTTTAAAACTAAACAGGATGCGATGCCATAAGAATGGATAAGTGTAACACTATATGCTCTCCAATAGAATCCAATAGAATAGTCTGGTATTACAAATGGGATAAATGCTAGTTTTCTGGTACAATATCATGATAACCCATCATAAAACAGAATTCAGGGGACACCATCATATACATCCCCTGTTCAGGAAATTAGTTTTCATAAACTAAACATCACAATGTAGCATACCTTGATAATTTACAAATACACTGAGCATTGGCCCAATAATCTGTGGATCAATCATGCTACTGTGCTATACGGTCACACTCATCTGTAACACTGAACAATGTTCCAGATAAACACTGAATGTGCGATTCTTTTTTAACAGACTTTGAGCTAAGTCACTGATGCATGAAATGTATATCATATTTAGCATTGTGTAGAATCACCTTAGTTACATCATTCATGCAAATGATATATATCATATAGAACTGAAAGCTATGAAATTTAACTAAAATTGGATGCTTCAACAAAAAATGTCTAATTTGACACTCGCAACATCCACTCTGCAGAATATTTCTAGTTATATCATTAGTAAGTACACACTACTACTAATACTCCTAATAGCTAATTATGTACCAAAACACCAACTAATGTGTCCATATATGAATTGTTTGTTTGTTGGGTTTATTTTGAGATTTCCTGTAGTAGCTAATGTCATTCTCAATGGGCAACATATGACAGGTCCATTGCATGACTTCCTTGGCAATTGGTATTAAGTGTCTTGTCCAAAGACACCACAACAACAACACAGATTGGTCCATTTCTCAGCTTCCTGACAAACTCAAGTTGCCATGGAGAGAGGGAGCACTGAACTAAACACCTCAGATTTATCTTCACCTGAAGTAGCATTAGGCCAACGTGCAGCCCCTCACTATATAAAACAAATACTGATAACGATTATAAAGTGATGGAGGAAAGCAATTACAAATGGAGGGGATATATAATAGATTGTCATAATCAGATGAATGTAACAATCAAGACTGTGTTCTAAATTTACCATTTTCTTTGATTCTATTTGTGCAACCTTGATACGTAAAGCCTCTTCTCCTTTCTTTCTTTCTTCTTCCAAACTCTCCTTGAGCATTACCTGTAATTATACACTAAACATGTCAGAATCACTGTATATTGTAGTCACACAACTAAACATGTCAGAATCACTGTATATTGTAGTCACACAACTAAACATGTCAGAATCACTGTATATTGTAGTCACACAACTGAACATGTCAGAATCACTGTATATTGTAGTCACACAACTAAACATGTCAGAATCACTGTATATTGTAGTCACACAACTGAACATGTCAGAATCACTGTATATTGTAGTCACACAACTAATCATGTCAGAATCACTGTATATTGTAGTCACACAACTGAACATGTCAGAATCACTGTATATTGTAGTCACACAACTAAACATGTCAGAATCACTACATATTGTAGTCACACAACTAAACATGTCAGAATCACTGTATATTGTAGTCACACAACTAATCATGTCAGAATCACTGTATATTGTAGTCACACAACTGAACATGTCAGAATCACTCTATATTGTAGTCACACAACTGAACATGTCAGAATCACTACATATTGTAGTCACACAACTAAACATGTCAGAATCACTGTATATTGTAGTCACACAACTGAACATGTCAGAATCACTGTATATTGTAGTCACACAACTAAACATGTCAGAATCACTACATATTGTAGTCACACAACTAAACATGTCAGAATCACTGTATATTGTAGTCACACAACTGAACATGTCAGAATCACTGTATATTGTAGTCACACAACTAAACATGTCAGAATCACTACATATTGTAGTCACACAACTGAACATGTCAGAAGCACTGTATATTGTAGTCACACAACTAAACATGTCAGAATCACTGTATATTGTAGTCACACAACTGAACATGTCAGAATCACTGTATATTGTAGTCACACAACTAAACATGTCAGAATTACTGTATATTGTAGTCACACAACTGAACATGTCAGAATCACTGTATATTGTAGTCACACAACTGAACATGTCAGAATCACTACATATTGTAGTCACACAACTAAACATGTCAGAATCACTGTATATTGTAGTCACACAACTGAACATGTCAGAATCACTGTATATTGTAGTCACACAACTAAACATGTCAGAATCACTACATATTGTAGTCACACAACTAATCATGTCAGAATCACTGTATATTGTAGTCACACAACTAAACATGTCAGAATCACTACATATTGTAGTCACACAACTGAACATGTCAGAATCACTGTATATTGTAGTCACACAACTAAACATGTCAGAATCACTACATATTGTAGTCACACAACTAATCATGTCAGAATCACTGTATATTGTAGTCACACAACTGAACATGTCAGAATCACTGTATATTGTAGTCACACAACTAAACATACCAGAATCACTACATATTGTAGTCACACAACTAAACATGTCAGAATCACTGTATATTGTAGTCACACAACTGAACATACCAGAATCACTACATATTGTAGTCACACAACTAAACATGTCAGAATCACTACATATTGTAGTCACACAACTGAACATGTCAGAATCACTGTATATTGTAGTCACACAACTAAACATGTCAGAATCAATGCATATTGTAGTAAAACAAGTATATTTAAGTATCTAGAATACGATACAACTACATAAAACCGAATTCTGCCACCAAACATTAAGCATAAAATAAGAGAATAATTCACTGAAAAACATGGAAATCCTAAAAAAAAACTTTAGTCCTGAAGAAAGAAGATTTCCTAAGAAATAAGAAAACGCCTAAAATATATTCACTCATTGTAAACTTAATCTTTTCTTTACTTTGAAATAATTTCTAAGCTCTAATTTATTTAAGAAGGTAGTATGAGGAATGAATTAAATACTTGAAATTTTTCTCTCTGTTCTGCCAGGGACTTCTGTATAATTTCTTGATGTTTCTGCTGCTCCGCCTGCAATTCTTTCCTAAATAATTCCTAAAATGAAAGAAAAAAAGCTGTTAATAATTATATACACATAATACAATAAATCCTGAGAGAGACAACATTTTCTCACATATACTAAACAAAAAAAGATTAATTAATTAACCCCTTCATAAATCCTTACCAATTATGTACGAATAAAGTAATTGATCAATTCTGATAAAACTGCAGTCATGGTTCATTATAAAACTTTGCGTTCAGTTGATTTTATTCGACTATAAAGGATGTTTGGGTCAATTCCAAAGGTAACACCATTAGTAACAGGTATGGCCACCGTTTGCTAAGTAAACAGTATTGCAGCGTCGTCACATGGAACTCGTAAACCGGCGGATAATTCGAGGAGAGATGTTGTTCCATTCAGCGATCAAGGCTTGGGCCAGCTCCTGCAAGTTTGACGGTTGATTTTGACGTTCTCTCACGCATCGCCCAAGAACGTCCCAGACATACTCAATCGGTGACAAATCAGGTGATTTAGATGGCCAATCTAACACCTGTACATTATTCTGCTGCAAGAAAGTTCTGCTGACGCGACTGGTGTGCGCTGGTGCGTTATCCTATTAAAAAATGGCGTCTTAAGAATGGCAGAACCACTGGTCTTAAAATTTCGTCCCGATATCGTATGCCAGTTAAATTGCCATTTAACACAACAAGCCTGGTACGAGTCCCCCCACAAATACCACCCCAAACCATTTCACTTCTGCCGCCAAAGCGGTCCCGATCTGCGACGCAGCAGTTCGCAAAACGCTCCCCTCGTCGCCTCCACACTCTGCGCCTTCCGTCACTGTGTTACAGACAAAACCTGGACTCATCTGAAAACAGATTATTGTTCCATTGTCATAAGGCCCAACGACAGTGACCACGGGTCCAGTTACGCCGATTGTTACGGTGACATCGCAACAAATTGGGTCCAGTGTAGGGACGCCGCGCTTTCAATTGGTAGGCCCTCAACCTGTTGCAGACTGTTTGGGGAGACACACGACGCCCAAACAATGTCCTTGTAGTCTCTATTGCACAAACGTCATTTTGTTTTCACTCATTTACAGGTATTCGCCAAGGAAACATGTTAGCCTTTCTTTTTTTGTTGAGTATATTTCAGAAGATGATCCTGTGGTTGTTAGGGATGGTATAACTCTATCTCACATACTTCACAAGGTGATCCTGTGGTTGTTAGAGATGGAAGAGGTTTTACCTGTGTCACTCGTTACAAATAAGTTAAATGCCAGTGATTTTGCTCTGTACAGTCATCGGTGACTGGAAATGTCTGTAATCGGCATTTTCGCCAATAGAAATTTGAAATCGCCAATCTCATTTCACTTTCGCCAATGGCGCCATTGGCGATCGCCAGCGCGAGCCCTGGGTTTCACAAGAACTTACCATTTGTTGCTGATTTTTTAAAGTATGTGAGAAAAAAATAAAATTTATGTTTGTTCCTTGAACAGAAATATTTCCATCCTTGTGTCAGAATGGTCAGCAATTGGCCAGCCTTGTGCTGACCAGCAAAACTCTTATACTTGGTCTGTGATATCCCTGTCTATGAAACAGGCTCCTGTTAAAGATTCTATTATTCATGTCTTCAAAGAATCATGTTATGATGAAATTACCAGTAAGATGTGATGTGAACTATTCTTTATATATCGTAATATTATCTGAGAATTTACATGGAACACTTTTGAAGTACGACAATTTGGAAATTTATCTCCCCAGAAGTTCATTTCCCTTGTTAAAGAAAAGCTCATAGAAGACTACTATAGAGAGATGAGAGTAAAGTTTGGTGTTAGTTACCAATCTTTACAGTTGTAGGCTTACAAAGTAGTATTGCAAATGTGAATATTGTTTAAACATGCTTTAGATAATTCATTTTCTACCTTCTGTTCTAAATGTTGCTCTCTGTTTTTCTCTCGTTCCTGATCCAAGGCTTCCATTACTTTTTTACTGTTTTCTCTTCTTTCTTCCTGCAACATCAACTTGTTTATTATTATACTGAATTTAGAATGAAAAGGAAACATTTAATATCACAGTCAAACCTGCCTTAAAGGTTGGCTCTATGAAAGAAATAACCTTCATTAAAAGGTCACTCGTTTAAAGTTCAAATAAAACACAAACAGTAGAACCTCTATATAAAAATCACCTGCCTATAAAGGCCAATTTCCTATGCTCTATCTTGTTGCCGTTATAGACAGGTATAGCTGTATCAATGTAAAACACGACAATGCTGGATGTAATTCTTAAGGAAGGAATTTAAATAAAACAATTATATCAAAAGAAGGTCTTTCTTCTTCCAGTGAAAATGTACAATATTTTGTGTTTAACTTAGCAAGTTTTATTATCATATAATGCAAATTTCATAAAGAAAGAGTTTGAAAGTGAATTTGAAATCTTATGATAATTAATTAATATTGGTACTCAAATATCAGACACATCAACGAAATCAGGAAATTTGAGGTTTTAGACTGGTACCATGTAATTATTAAGTAATCAACCCCTGCTGTCTCATTTATTACTGTGTCCTGACTTATTACTGAGGTCTGATTTATTACTGGGGTCTGACTTATTACTGAGGTCTGATTTATTACTGGGGTCTGACTTATTACTGAGGTCTGACTTATTACTGAGGTCTGATTAATTACTGAGGTCTGAGGTCTGAATCATTAGTGAGGTCTGATTTATTACTGGGGTCTGACTTATTACTGAGGTCTGATTAATTACTGAGGTCTGATTTATTACTGAGGTCTGACTTATTACTGGGTTCTGACTTATTACTGAGGTTTGATTGATTACTGGGGTCTGACTTATTACTGAGGTGAGATTTATTACTTTGGTCGGATTCATTACTGAGGTCTGATTTATTACTGTGGTCTGACTTATTAGTGAGGTCTGAATTATTAGTGAGGTCTGACTTATTAGTGAGGTCTGATTTATTACCGAGTTGACTTATTACTGAGGTCTGACTTATTACTGAGGTCTGTCTTATAACAAAGGTCTGACTTATTACTGAGGTCTGATTACTTACTGAGGTCTGATTAATTACTGAGGTCTGACTTATTACTGAGGTGAGATCTATTACTTTGGTCGGATTCATTACTGAGGTCTGACTTATTACTGAGGTCTGATTTATTACTGAGGTCTGACTTATTACTGAGGTCTGACTTATAACAGAGGTCTGTCTTATAACAAAGGTCTGACTTATTACTGAGGTCTGATTACTTACTGAGGTCTGATTTATTACTGAGGTTTGATTTATTACCGAGTTGACTTATTTCTGAGGTCTGATTGATTACTGAGGTCTGAATTATTACTGAGGTCTGATTTATTACTGAGGTCTGAATTATTACTGAGGTCTGCCTTATTACTGAGGTCTGACTTATAACTGGGGTCTGATTTATTACTGAGGTCTGCTTAATTACTGAGGTCTGACTTATTACTGAGGTTTGATTTATTACTGAGGTCTGATTTATTACTGTGGTCTGACTTATTACTGAGGTCTGATTTATTACTGAGGTCTGAATTATTACTGAGGTCTGACTTATTACTGAGGTCTGACTTATTACTGAGGTCTGACTTATAACAAAGGTCTGACTTATTACTGAGGTTTGATTGATTACTGAGGTCTGAATTATTACTGAGGTCTGATTTATTACTGAGGTTTGATTGATTACTGGGGTCTGACTTATTACTGAGGTCTGAATTATTACTGAGGTTTGATTTATTACTGCGGTCTGAATTATCAATGAGGTCTGACTTATAACAGAGGTCTGACTTATAACAAAGGTCTGACTTATTACTGAGGTCTGATTACTTACTGAGGTCTGAGGTCTGAATTGTTAGTGAGGTTTGATTTATTACTGGGGTCTGACTTATTACAGAGGTCTGATTAATTACTGAGGTCTGATTTATTACTGAGGTCTGATTTATTACTGAGGTCTGACTTGAGGTCTGACTTATTACTGAGGTCTGATTGATTACTGAGGTCTGACTTATTACTGAGGTCTGATTACTTACTGAGGTCTTATTACTAGATCTGACTTATTACTGAGGTTTGATTGATTACTGGGGTCTGACTTATTACTGAGGTCTGATTTATTACTGAGGTCTGATTTATTACCGAGTTGACTTATTACTGAGGTCTGACTTATTACTGGGGTCTGACTTATTACTGAGGTCTGATTAATTACTGAGGTCTGAATTATTACTGAGGTTTGATTTATTACTAAGGTCTAAATTATTACTGAGGTCTGACTTATAACAGAGGTGAGATCTATTACTTTGGTCGGATTCATTACTGAGGTCTGAATTATTACTGAGGTCTGAATTATTACTGAGGTCTGACTTATTACTGAGGTCTGATTTATTACTGAGTTCTGAATTATTATTGAGGTCTGACTGATTACTGAGGTCTGATTTATTACTGAGGTCTGAATTATTACCGAGGTTTGATTTTATTACTGTGGTCTAACTTATTACTGAGGTCTGAATTATTACTGAGGTCTGAGGTACTGAGGTCTGAATTATTACTGAGGTCTGATTTATTACTGAGGTCTGATTTATTACTGAGGTCTGATTATTACTGAGGTCTGACTTATTACTGATTATTACTGAGGTCTGATTATTACTGAGGTCTGACTTATTACTGAGGTCTGATTTATTACTGAGGTCTGATTTATTACTGAGGTCTGATTATTACTGAGGTCTGACTTATTACTGAGGTCTGACTTATTACTGAGGTCTGATTTATTACTGAGGTCTGTCTGATTATTACTGAGGTCTGACTTATTACTGAGGTCTGACTTATTACTGAGGTCTGATTATTACTGAGGTCTGACTTATAACTGGGGTCTGATTTATTACTGAGGTCTGATTATTACTGAGGTCTGAATTATTACTGAGGTTTGATTTATTACTGAATTACTGAGGTCTGACTTATTACTGAGGTCTGATTTATTACTGAGGTCTGACTTATTACTGAGGTCTGACTTATTACGGAGGTCTGATTAAATACTGAGGTCTGAATTATTACTGAGGTCTGAATTATTACCGAGGTCTGACTTATAACAAAGGTCTGACTTATTACTGAGGTCTGATATATTACTGTGGTCTAACTTATTACTGAATTCTGATTAATTACTGAGGTCTGATTTATTACTGAGGTCTGAATTATTACTGAGGTCTGATTAAATACTGAGGTCTGAATTATTACTGAGGTCTGAATTATTACCGAGGTTTGATTTTATTACTGTGGTCTAACTTATTACTGAGGTCTGAATTATTACTGAGGTCTGATTGATTACTGAGGTCTGAATTATTACTGAGGTTTGATTTATTACTGTGGTCTGAATTATTAGTGAGGTCTGAATTATTACTGAGGTCTGATTACTTACTGAGGTCTGATTTATTACTGAGGTCTGATTAATTACTGAGGTCTGACTTATTACTGAGGTGAGATTGATTACTTTGGTCGAATTCATTACTGAGGTCTGATTTATTACTGAGGTCTGACTTATAACAGAGGTCTGACTGATAACAAAGGTCTGACTTATTACTGAGGTCTGATTACTTACTGAGGTCTGATTTATTACTGAGGTCTGATTAATTACTGAGGTCTGACTTAAGGTCTGACTTATTACTGAGGTCTGACTTATTACTGAGGTCTGATTATTACTGAGGTCTGATTTATTTAGGTCTATTATTGAGGTCTGAGGTTTGATTGATTACTGAGGTCTGAATTATTACTGAGGTCTGACTTATAACAGAGGTCTGACTTATAACAAAGGTCTGACTTATTACTGAGGTCTGATTACTTACTGAGGTCTGATTTATTACTGAGGTCTGATTAATTACTGAGGTCTGACTTATTACTGAGGTCTGATTTATTACTGAGGTCTGACTTATTACTGAGGTCTGACTTATTACGGAGGTCTGCCTTATTACTGAGGTCTGACTTATAACTGAGGTCTGATTGATTACTGAGGTCTGAATTATTACTGAGGTTTGATTTATTACTGTGGTCTGAATTATTAGTGAGGTCTGAATTATTACTGAGGTCTTAATTATTACTGAGGTTTGATTTATTACTGTGGTCTGACTTATTACTGAGGTCTGACTTATTACTGAGGTCTGATTAATTACTGAGGTCTGATTTATTACTGAGGTCTGACTCATTTCTGAGATCTGATTTATTACTGTGGTCTGACTTATTACTGAGGTTTGATTTATTACTGTGGTCTGATTAATTACTGTGGTCTGATTTATTACTGAGGTTATTACTGAGATCTGATTTATTACTGTGGTCTGACTTATTAGTGAGGTCTGACTTATTAGTGAGGTCTGAATTATTAGTGAGGTCTGATTTATTACTGAGGTCTGACTTATTACTGAGGTCTGATTGATTACTGAGGTCTGAATTATTACTGAGGTCTGACTTATAACAGAGGTCTGTCTTATAACAAAGGTCTGACTTATTACTGAGGTCTGACTTATTACTGAGGTCTGATTTATTACTGAGGTCTGACTTATTACTGAGGTCTGACTTATTACTGAGGTCTGATTTATTACTGAGGTCTGAATTATTACTGAGGTCTGACTTATTACTGAGGTCTGACTTATTACTGAGGTCTGACTTATTACTGAGGTCTGATTTATTACTGAGGGTCTGAGGTTTGATTTATTACTGAGGTCTGACTTATTACTGAGGTCTGATTTATTACTGAGGTCTGAATTATTACTGAGGTCTGACTTATTACTGAGGTCTGATTTATTACTAAGGTCTAAATTATTACTGAGGTCTGACTTATAACAGAGGTCTGTCTTATAACAAAGGTCTGACTTATTACTGAGGTCTGATTACTTACTGAGGTCTGATTAATTACTTATTACTGAGGTCTGACTTATTACTGAGGTCTGATTAATTACTGAGGTCTGACTTATTATTGAGGTCTGACTTATTACTGGGGTCTGA